AAGAAAATGCAAGGCGTGTACAGAACATAATCCTGATCCAATTAAACTGAACTGTTGCGCAACACGCGTCCTTTCTGCCCAACCTGACTTTGCATCACAAAGGATATATCTACAAGAGGTAAGTTGCAATTAATTAATTATTCCAATATTCCAAAATAATTAAAAAATACTTATCTTTTTAGATTATTGAGACAGCAGAACATATGTGCATGTTCTATCCGAAGTTTCACTGCGAGCTTAATTATATCGAGTCCTTTTGGGTGGAGGCAAAGTGGTATTCACGTCTTTACTGCAATTATTCGTTCAATGGTCTTAAGGAAGTTGTACCGCATGCATTAGATTCAATTAGCCTAACAAAAATTCGCCGGTTTTCACGTCATTCTGCGCATTACATAAGTGCTTATGAACTTGGACTTTCAGGCAAGGCGGCTGTCTTTGCAGTTAAGCAGTATCAGTCTCATCGTCGGATTCCTGCAAACGTTTTGGAAGAATTTGGAGATATGAGTTGCGATTAGCCAATCATATACAGTCATGTGATTTTATATGCACCAATCATATCTTGGCACGTGATACCGGTGGTGCTGAAAATCTCGCTATTACTATTAAAATTGACGTTAAGAAAAACCTAACTACAAAAAATTTTTATAATAAAATGAATAAAAAAAATACGTTGCATTACAGACCATATCAAGAGCTATTAAACAACGTATTTTTTTTTAATGTTTATATAATTAAATAAAATTCCTTTATGCTTTAAAGTTATTAAAAATTATTGGATGCGACTAAGCTGTTTGCACCATAGATAAATTAAATAATATTATTTTTGTTTAAATTAAATTCTAAATATTGAAATATTTTATCTTAAATTAACTGATTTATTTTTTTAGTATTTAATTTCTAATAAAAATTGATTAATAAATATAAATTTACCACTTAAAATATAATATCTTGATATCTAATAATCCAATTTGAGCAAAATATGACTATTTAATTTGTCTAGATTAAACAAATTGAATGATAGTATTTTTACTAAACATTAAGATATTATATTTTAAATTAACTAATTTATTGTATTTGAAACATGAACATACAATATCTAATATAGAAGCTCTACAAATATATAATAATCTGAATTTGTAATGTTCTTGTGCTCAGAAAATTTTGATACATTACATATGATTTATGGAAAGTTATGGGAGGTAAATTACTTTGATCCGACTGCCCGGCATTACCCAAAATCATACTATAACGATCACCCAAATTTTCTGGGCGTAAAGTGTAATACGACACCTGATCGCTTGTACATTTATAGATTGTTAGAGCTTCTATATTAATATCGGATATTGCATGTTTATAAACTTTCATAAACTTCATGCCCCAAATACAATAAATCGGTCACTTTAGGAGATAATATCTCGACCTCCAGTGACCCAGTTTGAGCGAAAATACTACTATTCGATTGTCTAATCTAGATAAATCAAATGGTGAGATTTTTGCTCAAATTCGGGCACTGGATGTCGAGATACATGTATTACGTACATCCTAAAGATATTTGTCGATCAATTTTTGATCGCAAAAAAAATGAATCTGTTACTTTAAGGTGTAATATTTCGATGGCCAGTGATCTGATTCAAACAAAAATAATACCATTTGATTCACCTCGACTGGGCGAATCGAACGGTTGTATGTTTGTTCAAATCGGATCACTGAACGTCAAGAATTAGATTATTGAATATTGAGATATGTGTTATGAAATAACTGATTGTATTTGGGACGTGAAAGTTATGAACATACAATATCCGATATAGAAGCTCTGATAATCTATAAATGTACAAGCGATCAGGTGTCGTATGGTGCATAAAATCTAAAGTCATCAAACGTTTGTATTTTACAAAATGTATAAACTTCTTTACTATACAAAATTTAATCCGTGAATATGATAGAATAAGCCTTTTCTGAGCATATTCACGGATTAAATTTTATATAGTAAAGAAGTTTATACATTTTATAAAATACAAACGTTTGATGACTTTAGATTTTATGCACCATATTACATTTTACGCCCAGAAAATTTGGGTGATTGTTATACGTAGTATGATTTTGGGTAATGCCGGGCGGTCGGATACTTATGGTCCATACTGTAATTAGAAATTAACCGCTTTTTCTCATTTACTCATCAATTTAGCTTTTATAAATAGTATTAAAGTCAATTTATTTCAAGATACGACAGTTATGTACATGTATGTATTTAGATTAGAGATTGTATTAAAATTCGAGATTTTCTTTAAATAAAAATTTTTAACCCTGCTAATATTGCTAAAAACAAATTTTTTACCTAATAAAAATTAAACTTAAGCCAAAAGAGAAAATTATCCTTTCAAAAACCGCATCAGTGAGAAGAAATGAATTAGCACTTGAAACAATCACATCACTGTGTGGAACCAAAACAACAGTTGTCGCAATAACTACTACTTCAGATGAAAGCACAACAGTCGTAATTATTTCTATGGAAGAATTAGGCAAAGTTGTAGTAATTAATTTTGTGGCAGAAGTTGCCCGAGTGGTTGTATAAGTTGTTAGAATGGTGGGGTGTGATTTAGTAGGACTTGTTTGCTGCGAAGTAGGAAAATTATTCTTAGTAATTGTTGCGTTGGCATTTCATTTTGTGGTTTTGTCTGAGAATTTGATTCATTATTTTTACTCTCAGTCTTAATAGTTTGCTGAACGGATTGATAAGTAGCTGTAATTATATTTTTAACACTTACCGGATTCGGATTTGACGGTTGAGTTGCCGATGGTGGTGATGTTGCTGGCGGTGGTGGTGGTGGTTGTGCCGAGGTTGTTGACAGTGGTGATGGTGTAAAAGTCGTTGACGGTGGCGGTGGCGGCGGTTTTACCGATGTTGTTGGCGGTGGTGGTGGTGCCGAAATTGTTGTCGGTGTTGGTAGTGGTGGTGGTTTTACCGAAGTTGCTGATAATGATGCTGACGGTGGTGGTGCTGATGATGATACTAGTTCTGAAGTTACTGCTGGTTTTCCCGCTGATGTTACTGATGGTGGTATATTAACCTGTGCGCTGCTGCTAAAACATTATGATAAATTAAAATTAAAAAAATTATAAGCTTAACGAATATATTTTTTAGTCATACATACGATTGCTGTGCTAAAGCATTAACAGTACATATCGATATTAATGTTAACAAAAGTATTACATGTAACTTGAGATTATCCATTTTAAAAGTTCGATATCTTTTTAGATAGATTGTTAGTTTTGTAGTACATTTATATTACAGTATACGTATCGATATGCTCTCCAGAGATCAGTGCTTGTTATGTACATGTAATAATGACGATAACTTAGAAATGTTTTCATAGCAATAGAAAAAAAGTACAAAAGTTTATTTATTTTTAGAATCTCTTGATTTTTTGAGTATGGAATCTCTTGAGAGTACTTTGAAGAAGTTCTAGAAATGTTATTTGTGAAACAATATTTATGCCAAAATAATGTTCATAATGAAGGAAACTTGATTTATTGAAGAGTGGGCGTTTACCAAGATAGTTTTGATGTAACTTGGTTTTTTATATTTTCATGATACATGTAATTGTGATTGATAATGAAATCTGTCCTTTTTTTTGAGGATGAAAAAGTATTAGAGTATCATACTGACATCTAATTACGTATTTGTATACCCATCCATTTTGTCTTTAACCTGCCAATAATTAAAGGTATCGGTACTGGTTCAATCTTGCATTATTTGTTTAATAAAAAAGTTTTTCTTTCTTGACTTTAAATTGACTATACACACAATCATTTTAACTTGTCGATTAAAAAGAGTTTCGATTTAAATAAAGAGAACTTGTTTTTTAACATTATGAGTCAAAGCAAAAATGATCAGTTAGGCTGAGTGCTAGAAATCGACAAATTAAAAATATCGATACGTATTTGTGATCGATTTGATTTAGATACCGGAAAAAGAAACATCTAAATCCATTAATACATAGCGATAGATTGTGTTTTATGAATTCAATAGAACTGCTAAATGAAGTACCAACAGTATCAAAATTTACTAATAAAACGCGGGTTTTTCTCTATAAACGTTCTACTAATAAATTAGTAAATTTTGATACTGTTACATTTCTTTTGATTTCAGGTTTTTCTCTATTACTATCGCTATATAAAGTTTATTATTTTACTAATAAATATTTTTTTATTATAACAATATATCCAATACTTTAAACTGTAAAGGATTTGCATCCAAACACTTTAACCACAAAAAATACGTTGCTAAATAATCTTTGATGAGAACGATAACATAACGTATTTTTCTTGTGATTTATTTGTTTGGATACAAATCATTTACAGCTTAAGGTATTAGATATATAGGATATCTTTATACTATTTGTACCATATTATTTCTTAAATCGTCCAGCAGGCAAATTATCTCACTAAAATTTTTTAGCTTAATTTTTTATAAGCTTAACTCCCCCTTTTTCTAAGCTAAAATATAGCATATTTAAACAAAATTTGTAATTTTTATTTATAATTGCTCAAAATATTTGATTTATTTTGTAATCAATGCTGTAATTTTATTATAAAATATTTTTAAAATTTAAGATTAATAATAAAATATTTTTAAAAAAATTGTTTATTTTTACCTTATAGACAACTATAATTATTAAAAAAAAAAAGTGAAAGTAACTAATATATAATTAAAGCTAATATTAAAAAAATTTTTTAAAATATTTTAATTTTTTGTAAAAAAAATATATTAGATATAAATTTATAGAATTTTAGCGGGCAAATTTGCCTGCTAAACCTGATAGTTTAAGGAATAAATTGCATAGTTTTGCTTTATTAGTTGGACTGTACTATCGCTATGCTATGATGCATAACATCTACATCATATACTCAACAATCTAATGTAAATTAAACTGTAGAAATGATAGCTTAGATCAAGTTTCATCATTTTGATGACTTACTTTTTGTTTGTATTACATGTATAAAGATTTAAAATTATGCATGTTTGTTGAATTTATTAATAAATGCCCATAATTCGAATGATCAACACTATAATTTTGTTGATCTTTTATAACCTGACCAAAATTAAGCATAATTTAAGAAAATTTTTGAAATTAATGATAGATTTGTTGATCTTTTATAATTCCAGGCAAAATTATACTTTAATATAAAATTTTTCTGCCATCGACCAATCAAATACTAGATTTCTGATAACGTAATATATAGTAAAACCTCTCCAAGTGCATCCTCTATAAATGCACGTACTATCGCTATATACTGTAAGCCCTTTCTAAATGCACGGTATGGCTTGGTTCCAAGTTATAAGACATGTATGTTTTACTCTCTACAGTCAGATCTCCCTAAGTGCACTCCCCTCGGGGCTATAGTGAAAAAAATATAAAAAGTGCATTTAGAGAGGGTGTGCATTTATAGAGAGCAAAATACACAGAACTCTTATAAGCTGGAACCAAGCTATACCGTGCATTTAGAGAGAATTTATATAATCCGTGCATTTATAGAACGTGCACTTAGGAAGGTCTGACTGTACTTTGAAAATTCTAATGATCAACATTAGTTGATGAGTTTAGATGTTACGCACCATACATAAATCCTTAACCTATCGCTATACGTGTTCCGAACCCATACACTAACACTAACCCTTTTCCAGTTCAGATAGTAGTTTCCTCTAAATTTTGATACTGTTGCATTTCACTGTACGTACTTCATCAAGCAATCTACTGAATTCATAAAATACAATCTATTGATGGGTTAGATGTTAGTTCTTACGTGACAAATGAAATTATCTAAATTTACACCTAAACTTCGATACATGTCGAGATAAAAATATCTTTATGCACTACACGGCCGGCAATCCGGACAAGATCCATTCGTATAATACTTCAATAGCACACGAAATTTTATTAGGGTAACAATTTTTCTATCTAAGTAAAAAATGTTCTCGAGCTTATTTTACACCGATTGAGTAAAAACATTTTTCGTCAGCTTTCCTCTTTTTACTGCACAAAGTTCAGCTTTTCTAATATTGCTATTTTAATTATTAATTAGGATATCTGATTTCAAAAAATGGTTCATATATAATCTACTGATACTAATATACAAAATATTCACCATATCAAAAGCTTTTTCTTCTTAAGCATAAACATGATGTAGCATTTTGATTAGAGGACAAGGTAGGTCGAATAATCTTTGTTGCAATAGTTATTATTTTGCCAAATTATTTTTGCAGGTATACCCTTACTTCAAATATTTGTGCAGATTGATAAATTATGTTTATATACTTGTAGATTTAGTTGTTGCTAAATCAAAAAGAAACAAGTATATTGAAGATATTGTTGAGCAGAGAAGTAACTGTAATTATAATACATATAGTGCTCACTAAAGTTTTAGGAGTATTTTATTGAACGTGAATGCTAAAATAAAGAAACAAGCTTGTTGATTGTTGATACAATTTTTAACCTATGCATCTTAATAAATTGATAAAGTTACCCGATTAGGGAATTTGGAGAATATTATTTGGAGCTTGTGCTCTTTTGGGCGTAGCGGCAGGTGCAGGTACCCAAGAATTTAAATTGGTTTTGGATTTTCATATTTGGAAGGTTAATGTTTACGTATCTACATGTAGGCGATAGAACGCATTACGTAGGAGTAGTTGCATTTGTTTTATTGTTAATATATGGTGCATAAAATCTATTACCAAGAAGTAAATACAAAATTTAATCTGTGAATTGATAGAATAGGATTAAATTTTGGTATTTACTTCTTAGTAGAGAAGTTTATACATTTTATAACATACAAACGTTTGATGACTTTAGATTTTATGCACCATATCAAGATCGAGAACGATTATCGGGTCAAAAAAAGTAAATTAATAGAACATATTAAAAATGTGAAATTATCATTATGTGATTCATTTACTAATTAAGTCACACATAATAACTCGTCCAATATATCAATAATTAAAATTTTTTATTATACATGTACATAATAATCAATCTGACCAATCAGAATTCTTTATTTTTAATAATATTTTATTAGTGAAAAATTTTAAATCATTATAACTTTTTAAAAATAAAACAAATATATTTTCAGAATTACAGTTTTAATAACAAACTATCAATCTATAAGAGGGATTTTTTATATGATTGTTAATCATCAGGTTTTAATAAATAAGTTAAAGTGGATATCTTATGCTGTCTCCGCTATACTATAAAAATTATTTATAAAGCTCTACCCATTTAGAGCCTTTCTCTAAAAATTCAATCAAAAGAAAATTAAATTTTTTAATCCTTGATTACTTTAAACATTATAATTATTTTCTCTCGTTTTCGTATATGCCAACTATACGATAACACATCTAATTTCTTGCTACCGAAATAGCATTAAATTCTTCGATTCCGTAATTCTCACCCTGGTTGCGTAAAAACCCCTCTTCTACCAATCAAAATAGTAACACGCAACAATACGTAATAATCTACAGGAATCACGTGAATATTGATACCGAAATTATCCACACCTGCAAAATAGTCCGGTCCCGAGAGGTTGATCCTGATTGCAGTTGCATAACCATAAACAACAGCATATACACCTCTGCTGATTTCAAATCCCATTCGAATGCTTTTCTCATCTTTTTGAGTACCTATACCAATTTGATAACAAAAATCGAGATTATTTTGTCCACGAGCATTTCCATCCTCTGCCGATTTCGTCTTTTTGTGTTACAACACCTTCTTATAGCAATAATCGAGTTTAAATTGTCCTCTTGCGTTTCCACTCAAAAGCTTTTGTGTTATTTTTTTACTCTAATTCACCTCTCATATGCATAGCCGGATAAGAATTGAGCTTGTGAATCTTCATTATGTGCACATTTATTATAGATTTCAAAGGCCGTTAAAAGATCTCGTTCAAAGATAATTTCATTTTGATCCAGGAAACCCCTAAAGACTTTATATTTAACCTTGTTCTGTAAATTTTGTAGATAAATTTAAATTCAGAGGGAAATTGAACAATTTATCACAGTAATGTTTCAAAAAGCAGTAATTTGTTTGTATGAAATGTTGTCATATAGATTATGAAAAGAAATTAATAAATAATCAACTTGCCTGCAACATACTAACAGCGCGTATTAATTGGAATAGTATATATGCTTAGATCTGGACTTGTTGACATAATACTTAACAGAATCCGTGCACTCAGTGTATTAGTTTGAGGTGGCATATAAGGAAATCTGTGATTTACTCAAAATTAAATTTCAGAATTGTTCTTTTTGTTGAATGAGTCGTCTTAATTAAAGCTTGACATAAAAGCTTCATTGGAAAAGAGATCATTGGTTTCATAGGCATGAGAATTTGATATAATATCTTCACCAAGCAAATCTGAAAATGGTTCTTTTGAACCTTTCGTTAATAAATCTGCAGTCCAGTCTATCTTTTCAAGCCGCATATTTACCGCATAGATATCTGGGTGATTTGTTGGTACATAGTCCCAGCATACTTGATAAAGCTTAACATATTTTTTTGGAGTCTCGTATATTCTTTTTCTTTTTCCGGTGAGGAACGAAAAGTATATCAATAGTGATTAGTCGGTGTGTGACGCTGGACATGACCCGAAACAGAATACCAAGGCTGTATCAGATTTTCATCCGTCTAAAATTAATCATATATTTTAGAATACCGGATCAAAATAACTTATTATCCCTAGGTTTGTATTTGAGTTAGATTGATCATTTGTAAGCATTGAGTAACCTATATTTGAAATTTTAACTTTTCCCTAATGAATAAGGATATTGTTGTGATTCCACATATTTATTAAATCCAAATATTTTAGTTGGGTCAAAATAATGTTTTAATTATTAATAGAAAATATAAAAGTGTAATTATACAGCATTTACGATTAATAATTGTATAGCCAAAATTTTAAACATTAGATTAAATAATATAAAAGGCATTTCTAAATGAACTCACTAAATCCTGGTGGATAGCACCTTCTTTATGAATACATTTTAGTCCTTTTGCAAGTTGCTTTGTTAAAAATGATTTATCATCCCGTTCATGCACAAACTTAGATTTTAAATAAGCTTTAATAGTTCCACTATCAGCATACTTTAAAGCAAGCATATATTTTTGAGAATTTAGGTCTAGGAAATTTTTTTAGTTTTTTTTCTAGATATTTCTTGATACTTTGTTACATATTGATTATGCTTGTTATTTATTTTTACTTTTGGTTATTAATTTAATAAGGACTTTTAGTTAAAGTTTAAATGTAAGATTTGATGAGTTTTTCTAACATACTAAATTTTATATTTCAATAATTCTTTGAATATTAGTATATCTCTTTAATAAGTTGCTAATAAATTTCTTCTTTAGCATTTTCATCTTTGATATATAGACATTAAGAGCCAATGTTTATTCATCATTTTTTAATTCTACTTTAATAACTTCGCCAAATGCTCCGTTTCCGATTGTTTTTTATTGGTGAATTTATTAAAATCAAATATTATATGATTTTCTAAAATTAGTTTTCTAACCAAGATGACATTATCTCGGAGTTCGTTAAACATATCGTCACACAAACAAATGTGCAACCAACGTACCATATCGATATCATAACGTCCGGTCAAAAATTGTATAATAAATCATATAAAATGGAAATTTTCAAGCTATGTATATGTTGTGCCCAAATCGTAATTGTCCCAAATCACAATTGGCCCAAATTAGAATAGAATATAACCAGAGTTAGGGTAAGGTTAGAGTCAGTGATGGGGGATAGCTATATTTGGCTTAGAATTTGATTTGGGATATACCCCGTTGTGATTGGGACAGATTGTGATCTGGGGCACAACATATATATTTAAATTTTATATCATTTTTAATTGATCGTATTTTGAAAAAATAATACAAGACTTGTGACAAATTAAAATACAAGGACTGTTTTGATTGGAAAGTAAAAAAATTTCCACGCTTGATATATGAAAATTAAAAATTTCTAGAGATATATTAGTGACTATTTCTAAGTTTTAAAATGAACAAGACTTATGTCACTTGTAAATTGAAAATAAACAAAAAAATTTTTATATGTACATGTAATTTTAAATCAGACGTTACTTTTTGAGGTACCGTACATGTACTACGAAACCCTTTTCAATATATGTAATTGTCACAAATTTCTTATCCAAAAATTTTACATATACGAGATTGTATATCTTAAAAAAAGTGTACAACCTAGATACAAAATTGTTGGAATTACATCCCGAGAAATTATATCAATTACTGGTGAACCTTTCGACTTTATTTGGTTTATCCGGTTAGGAGAAAGTAATTGGCAACGGAAATATCCTAAGACGCAAGAAGAAATATCTTAAACTAGAAAGGCGAAGATTTAATTGAATAATATATCGAAGAAAACATTCTTACAATATGAACAAAAAATAACAAGTACACTCAAATGCAGTTTACACCAGCCGAGTAAATCAATTTCGATTCTAAATGATAAGGCACTACGTATTTTGAAATATAAATCATATTCAAATTTCATATTTTGAATATTTTGTTCCTTCAAGCGGTGGTTTGTATGTTCCAAATGATCTCAAATTTTTTGAAATTACAATTTTAGATGAAATACAAGAGTATGGACGAAAACTCCAAATTCATAATGAATTTGAAATTAACAATAATAAAATTTAATGCCTAAAAAACATTAGAGACGGTAATCATAGAATCGTATTTTGAGTTAATTATAATTCCACAACGACCTCAGTTCATGCGATCTATCATTGTAGGCATATTGAGAATGTGTGTTGTTTTTCACAAGAATAGAACAAAGTGATGGGAAGTTCTACAGAAATACACGTAAAGCATAATTATATGACTCTTCTTTTAGCACAATAATTTCGATGTTGCACATATAAATTATTATCGTTATTATCTCGTTTATTTATCATTTCAAAGTTGTAATAAACATAGATTTATAAAGTTGAATGGTCTAGCGAAATAAAGATATCGATCAAATGAACGGAAATTGAATGGATCCCATTTGAAAGGCTTACCAATGTTAAGTACCTTATAGAAGGTGGTTTTAGAATAATTTATAGATAATGTAGAAAACAAATTTATACGATATGGAGAACATGATGTTATGTTGAAATCATATGATGCATACCATCTAAAGTTAGCAAACGTTTGTATTTTATAAAATGTATGAATTTCTCATCTAAGAAGTAAATTCAAAATTTAATCCGCAAATAAGCCTTTTCCACCATATTTGCGGATTAAATTTTGAATTTACTTCTTAGTTGAGAAGTTCATACATTTTATAAAATACAGACGTTTGATGACTTTACAGTGGTGGACATAAGTAATCTACTCTTTAAATCATCCAAAATAATTTTTTTTATTTTAAAATATATTACAAATTCTAATTCTAGTACATAGTATAGTCTCAATTAGTGCCAAAATCTGGTTTTTCATACTATTAACCAGATTTATGCCAAGTTCATTAGGAAGACTGTTTCACTCTTTCATTAACCCCCCTTAAATCCTTTAATGATCGAATTTTTCTTTAAATATATTAATTTTTTATAGGATTTTGATCCGACGACATTGCTGGCCACGGAAGTTCATTAGTGACATTTTCTGCCTTCCATTTTTTCGCAATTTTTGAATGATGCTTAGGCTCATTAGCTCCTAACAAAATCTACTCTAAGTTACTGTTCTCATTAATTCAAGAATTGTTAGAATTAATGAATTAACTAAGTAACATAACAGTAAAAGAACAAAGACTGAATGATTTATGATTAATGGAATTTACTCAAGCTTCTAAAGGCCTTCTGTGATAGCTTGTATACATATAAAAAGTAAAAATAGGAGCAAGTGGGAGAGTTAAAGAGAAAAGATAAAGAAAACTAATAATAAAATAACAGAACTTATTGGGAATGCCTAACAAAATAAAATAATTGGACTTATTAAGAATGCTAGTAAAATAAAATAACAATATTGATATATTAAACAAAATAAACAGGACTTATTAATATAATCTAAAAATAATATTACAAGTAAGAACTTTGTTATTTTTATTAAATCAGAACATGAGAATTTCTAGTAATTAGGGACTTTTCTTTTTATATATTTTCAACAGTTTCTTCAATTTACTTGATTAATAATCATTCTAAACTATATCACTATTTATAGATAATACTAAATAATACTAAAGAAAAACAATAAATGAGAAATTATACAAGATGATAGAAAATAAAATACAAGAAAAATTTAATATGAATTTTAGTGATTAAATAAGAAAAATCATAAGATTATAGTAAAAAGAAAAATATTAAAGAAAAGTTAAATAACTTGAAATAAATTATAAAAAATACAATATTAAAAATAAAGATAGAGATAATAATAAAAATAAAGATAAGATAAAAAATAAAATTTAATTAATTTAAAATAATAAAATTTAAATTAAGCAAATTTTTATTAAGAATAAAATATAAAATATATTAATAATAAAAAAATTAATTTGAAAAAGAAAAATACAAAAAAATTAAAAGAATAAAAAGAAAAATACAAAAAAATTAAAAAAATAAAAAGAAAAGTGAAAATAAATATTAAAGTATATAAAAATATAATTTGTTGATAATTATATTAATTATCAATTAAAAGAAAAGTAATATTTACAATTTTATATTAAATATAATTATATAATTTCAAATTTAATTGTATAATATTAAATAAAGATTAAATTAATATGAATATCGTTAAACAAAATTATAATATATTATAATTATAATATTATAAAATTATATTATTACAAAATTTTTATTAATAATAATAATATTATTTTAGTCAAAAATTTCTTAATAACAGAACTAAAAGATTTTTCTTATAAATATTACATATAAAATCAGCTTTGAAATTTTACTGAAAACAAATTAATTTATTATAAAGCTTTAATTATATGAAATACTTTTTGTCTTCTAATAAATTATTAATATTCTATTTAATTAATATAATTAAATATGTATTTATCTGTAAAAATTATCTGATTTCAATTAAAATTTTAATATTTTT